CCAGGGGTCGAAGGGATGTTGGAGGTGGTTAGGGAGAGATGTAGACCGAAGGAGGTGATGATCGCTTGTGAGGAGAATTTGGAGAGGGTGAGGAGGATGGTTGGGGATGAGGAAGAGGCGGAATGGGATAGAGGGGAGGAAGGGGAAGGGAAGGAAGTTTCGCTTAGTATCCAAATCCTCCGTTTCATTCGAATGTTTACCGGTGAGTATCAATCAAATTGCAAATCGCTACTGTGATCCTTATTGTTATTGTTGATTTATATTTACTTTACTACAAGTGATATCGACCATCCCTCTCCGTAGAAAGTCAGCGTTATCGTTATCGTTTATACCCGAATTAGCGATTGTGCTACAGAGAGTAGGACGGAGATCAGATGGGTTCTCGAAAACGGAGGGAAGAGATGGCTTGTGGTATTCTGCGGAATTGGTGGAGAGGGTCATGGATTTGGTGGATAAAAAGGAAGAAGAAGAAGAGGGAAAGGGGGAATGGAAAGTAAGTAATTGTTTAGTTGTATATTGGCTTTATGCCGGACTAAATTATTTCTAGGAAATACTTGTTAAATATATGACAACCGTTATTGATACATTGGGTACTCACATCCAAGCCTCCCTCGCTAAACGCGCGTTTGGGGTGTGTTTTCCAAAGATTGGAGGACCGTTGGATGAGGGATGGGAAAGAGGCGAGGAGGTTGTGAAGAAACTCCACTCGTGTTCTTCGCGGATTGGGGGGGTTCTGGGTTCGGTGGGTTCGAGGTTTGTGTTGTTCGCGCATGGGTATATGCGTGGAGATGGGAAATGGGAGTTGGAGACGTACCTGCCGTTTATGATTAGTTCTATACAGACGAATACTTTTCTGGATGAATCTCTTGCGCTTTTGTTGTTCTCTTTCTTTCCTTCCCAATCCAACTCCAACTCCCTTCCCCCTTCATCCCCGTCATTGTCATTCCTCCCCCTCCTCTCTCTCCTCCCTGCATTATCATCAACCCACCCAGATCCGTTCACCCGACACTGTGCCTTTCGCATTTTGGGGGGTGTTTTGAGTGTGGTTCCTGGATTGGTCCAGGTTGAGGTGCTTGCGGGCCTGGTGGGTGTGAATGAGGAGCGGGAAGGGGTGGGAGGGGGAGGGGGAGAGTTGGGATGGAAAATGAGAATAGCGGCGATAGGGTTGGTAAAAGAGGCGGTGTTGAGAGCGTTGGAACGAGATCGGGGAGGATATAGTGGGAATGGGAATGGAGATAGGGATGTGATGGCTTCACCGAGGTTTTTACAGGTTTTCGCACCTGTGTTGTTCGTGTTGAAGGTGAAGTTGGATGGGGAAGGGGATGGGAAAAGGGAATATTTGGAACAGGACGAGACGGTGATGGAGTTGACGAGGCTGGGGGAGGTGTTGGGGTTGTATTATGTTTTGGTGATGAGGGACGTGAGGAATAGAGTGGGTTTTTTCTTCATTCACTATCCTGACCTGACTTGACTTGCTATATGTATGATACCATATAGACTGGCATCCGAGACTTGGATAACCGAGCCAACTTTGAACGGACGATCCTCGCTCCGTTGAGGGGGGGCGTACCGAGGTGGATTGGCGTGGTCCAGGGTGGGTTGAGAAAGGAGGAGGGGAAGGAGGAGGAGGAGGAGGAGGAGGAGGAGGAAGAAGAGAATGGTCATACATCATATGCATCGGGAGGACTACACTCACACTCACACTCACACTCACACTCACACTCACATGCCCTCGCGCCCCTGGTGTCTTTACAGATTGGACTGGAGAGGATCGATGGAATGTGGGAGGTTATAGGTGTAACGTAGATACGAGTCGAGACCAGATATTTAAAATACCCTAATAACTTTATCATATTTATCAAAAAAATAATAAAAACTTGTATTTTGAGAACAATCGACGCCAGCAGGATTTGAACCTGCGCCCTCAAAGAGGAACAGATTTCTAATCTGTCGCCGTAACCACTTGGCTATAGCGCCTTGGTGATCTTATCCTGTGCGCTAGATTACAAAGAGTTGTTTTTCGTTATCGAGATAAAATTGAATCAGTGATGCTACTAATGGATATTGAACATTGAACAAAAGAAGAATTATGCATCATATACAAAGAAAGAAGGAAAGAAAAAAAAGAAGAAAATGCAATGTCAGTCATTCGGGCAGTGTGGAATATGTAGATAGATATTGAATGAACTCGGTTATGCAAGGATGGAGAAAAAGAGTATATGGGTTACATGGTTATTTCAGTCCCCCACGCCAGCTAGTGCCTGCGAAACCAAGAAGGTAGGTAAATAACTAGGGCCACGAGCTCAATTGAACATCATCGACCCAACGGACTCGATACTCCATTGCTACTCTTAATCGCCGTGAACGTCACTCCTCCTCCTCCCGCCCCAGGACTAGTAACACCCCCAGCAGGCAACCTCCCCACAGGAATCGCCGGTGGCTTCCTCCTCTTCGTCTGCACAGGCGGCGGCGGCGCACTCCTCCGTCCTTTCTCCTCCTTCTTCATCTGAGCAGACCCAGGTTTAGAATCAAAATCAAAATGGGTCCTGGTAGGCGAAGTATTCGTATTCGTTAAAGACATCCCGGATAGGGAAGATAACACTAATGTGGAGTTTAGTGACTCTCCTAACCCTCCGTGTTGGTTGTGGTAATGATGAAGATGATGATGATGGGTGGAGTTTGGATCGGCGAACGCTCCTTCGACGTGAGCGCTGTTGGCTGTTCCTTGACGTCTGGGTTGACGAGGGCTAGGACCCGTAAGAGATGGTTTTGAGGTAGAAGTAGGAGAAGAAGAAGAAGAGGAAGAGAGCTGTGGAGAGACGACGTTGATTGGTGGCAGTGGTGGATGTGGATGTGAATTTGAATAAGATGCAGAAGGTGCGGTGACAGCTGACGCAATGCCTTGTAGACTACTCACGCTGTTTGCACTACTGAAACTCGCATTGCTCGCGTTACTGCCCCTCCTGAAGCTTTCAACGAATAAGGGCGAAAGAGGTGAGCGAGGGGCATGTGTAGACGCGTCGTGTTCAGTAGGCACTCCGATGTTGTTGTTGCTATGTCCAGTCACAGTCCCGCTCCGACTTTTCTTGAACTCCATGCTTTTGCTCGATTTGAGCGTGCGGGGGGCTGATGCATGTGAAGATGTCACGTTGGATGTTGAGGCGGTACCGGCAGTTGTAGACGACGAAGAGCCGACACCGAGATGTGAGCGTGCACCATTAACTTTGCTCGCAGTATGCGTTGTGATGCCTCCAGCTGTATCAGCCGCATTCCAACTAATCTCACTATCATTATCCTCGTCTCCATTCAGACCCTTTGCTTCTTTGATCTGTTTCTGCCTTGCCAGACCTACACACCACTCACCCCCGAGACATCTTTCTACCAACCTCTTCGTCGTTGGATTCACGTCCCGTACGTTGGAGGGGCGGATAAGCGATTCGAGTATGTATAGTATTTGTGGACGTTTGTAAGGGACCGTGCGGAGTTGGGTTTTTGTGAGTAAGGGGTGAAGAACGCGAAGGTAAGTATGTCGGAGCTGCGATTGAAAAGGTCGGTGGTAGATTATAAATGAAAATGTAGATACGTACCGATTCACTATCATCATCCAGATCAGCCAGTTCGCGTAAGAAAACGTCAACTAGGACACATAAATCGTTGGTGTAAAAGTACTCTTCGGTACCTTTGGTCGTGAAGAGGAGGTAAAGTAGTTTGAGCACGAGAAGTTGCATGCAGAGGCCTTCTGGTGTGCGTTCTGAGGAAGGGTCAGTCAATCGGAAAAATGAGAAGGCGAGACACTCACGAGCACGATTCAACATGAATATCATATTCTCTCCGAAAGTTTGAGTTGATCCCAGCCTCCGCATTAGCACCCTCAACACTCGGTTCTGATTCTCCAAGTTGCTTGCAGACGACGAATGGTGATGCCTATTCGAGTCGTTGGGCTCATTTCCAATAGACGCCACCATGAACTGTTCATTGAGCGCCACAATGAGCTTGATGACAGAATAATTAAAGGTGTCGTCCTGCATATGTCTTGTCTGTTCCACCAAATCGAATAAATAGTCCAGGAAGGCGTCGTCAAAGATCCGTAGATCCTGAATAGACAGTTTCTGGACCCTGCACATCTCGTAGAGTAAACGTACACCCAAACTCCGTAGTTTCGCTTCAATCGGCACGGGGACATTGGCCCCACCGTACCCAGATCCGGATCCAAAGCCAGCAGAGTTTCCAAAATACGTATCCTCAATATCCGAGTCGATCTCTACCAAGATATGATCCATAAGAAATGGAAGAAGTGGTTGCCAGCGTTTGTGTGACCTAAAGAAATCTGAGCGTCGTCGGCCGAAGCTGAGTAGGACGTGGAAACAGATAAACTGGAAATGGGGATTGGTGTTGGATTGAGCTTCAGAGGTGACAATATCGGACATGCGTTCAGAATGAAAGATGAACAGTTCAGAGTCGAGGAGCATGTTACAGGCATGTTCAAGTTGGAAAGGACTCTGAAGATATTGTTCTGGAATATGTATTATTCAGCTCGTTCACTGTGGCAAACAAAACTGTCTGCTCACCATGATACGCCGCACACAATGATAACGACCTCTTGAGCGTCGAATCCAATTGCTCCAAGGTTGGTATAGCCTCTTTTGGGAGTGCAAGAATATCTTCCAGCTCTATGAGATAAATTAAAAAATCGGTGAGTGAGATAGCCTACTTGTCAAATGCCTTAGACTAACACACACCGGACCAGAATTGCTGAGCGTTATCCACAAGATAAACGATGCCTAAATCATCCTCCATTGTTATTGCAGGCATGGCAAAGCTGTGGACACTTTCTTTGGAATGTCTGTGCGGCATCTCTGCGATACAACCTTTTCGCGGGAAACCAGGTTGGGGAAAAAGGAAAGGTAGGGAGTGATAAGTAGTAAAGGAAGCGCCCACAAGGCTAGGGTTCTTAAAACCGATATACAGAGAATTATGCTACGTAATGAAATGATGTAATCGGCGCTATAGCCAAGTGGTTACGGCGACAGATTAGAATTTCTTCGTGGTTTCCTCTTTGAGGGCGCAGGTTCAAATCCTGCTGGCGTCGAATCAATTTTTTTTTACCTAGATACCTACTGTACATGTTCAAGTCCATGCGTACCGACACAGGAAATACTTTGCATAGAGTAAAAAATTGTACATCTTCCGCCCAAGCCTGAGGAAATCATTGAAATTATCCGTTACTCAGACCCAGAATATTTGAGTCCCGTAGAGGGCTGCTCATACTACCCTTCTGACTTACTCTGCTTATTCCTCGACTGATCTGGATTGTTCCATTACTCACTCCACTGACCCCACTCAGCATAGAACCTTCATTCAAGCTCCCCTGCTCAACTTCGACATTCGGGTACCCTCCATACTGCCTAGGTGGGATGATGATGGGTTCAATGTATACACTGTCCCTCGTGTAAGAGCTTTGCGTCGGCGAAGGTGTATATCTCTTTGGTGCTTTTCCGATACTCTTGATTCGGGGTGCGGAGCGAGAGCGACGTTGACCAAAAGCAGAACCAGGATTAGAACCTGTGTGGGGTGTAGAAACCTTTCCCAGCATAGCTCGTTCAATGGTACTTTCTTCCGAGTACGAGTTTATGCTTTCATTGTACTTTACTGACTTGGGTCGTTGAAGCCAAGATAGATCAAATGTTTCTATGCTTCTTCCTCGATCATGATTTTCACCTAAACTCCTGGCGGTGTTCTCTTGGACTAAACGTAGTTCAGAAGGAACTACGCTAGCCCTATTCCTGAATCGAGAGCCGGCACCCGCCAATGAGCTTTTCTCCGCATCGTATTTGAACGGATCCTCTGTCTGTTCGGTGGTAGGAGTTGTCATTTGAGAATATGACGATGGACGAGGAGAAGATCCTGGAGGACGAGTGAAGATCGAGTCTTTCGTAGTGGGTGCAGTGGAAAGAGCAATGCTCATCTGATGCACGTGTTCGGCTGTACCTAACGGTGTGGGAAGCGTTACACCGGTCTGGGTGTCTGTATCTACGAACGGGTCTATGGAAGCCGGAGCGAGGACGAGGGAAGCTCGAGGAGCAGGTTTCCGACGAAAGGAATTGCCAGTGGACAGACCCGCTCCCTGAATGCCCCTCACCTTTGTTTCCGATGATGAGTCGGCAGATCCAGGGATAACATAAAGTGAATCTTGGAATGTTTGTTGAGTAGTACTAGTAACTCTGGGTGGTATCCCAGGAAATCGAGACGCCAGTACCTTGACAGCGCTGTGACTCATCGAATTAATTGAGTCTCTGAATCCAGAGTTTGTGCTAAAGTTGGAGATGTCTCTGGTGTGAGCAAAAACGTTATGGACGACAATTGGCTCTGGCTCAAAGTGATATGAATCGTCAGGCTTAGAAACGCCAATGGGTCCCTGATACGCTTTTGGCATCTGTGGCATGGAAAGATTATGTGTGTGACGCGTCATCGTTGAATTGGCATAATACGAAGATCTCCGCGAGGGTGCCGTTGAAAGCCACTCAGAGGCCGGACGAGTTTTGATACTTTCGACCATCTCGGTAGGACTAGGTAAATCTAGAGCAGAAAACCGCATTTCCAGAGTCGGAGCTTGACCTGATGCAGCATCGAAATGAACAGTAACCCGCTCTCTGGGTAGCATAGGTTGGGGAGAGGAAAATAATCTGGTACGAGTGGGAGGATTATTATCCCGGTAACCATCGAATGCAGCTTGAGTTGCGCCGGGTGAAAGTTGACGGAAGGTAGAAAGACGGGGATCAGAAATGAGAGGTCGGAGACGGGAACCGCGAAAAGACCGTTTGCGTTTTCCGGCGAGGATTTCTTCGCGAACTTGTTCGAAATTTTCGGATATGTCAAGGCTACAAGATCAAGAAAGTATTAGCAAGTGACAGAATAGTATGCATATGGCACGCACCCTTCAAAAAGGCCTATGATCAGTGAGGCCCTCCCCAGTAAACGTAGGATTCTCCTTGCGAGCACCACCCCGAACTGCGGCGACACAAATCCAATGGCAGTCTCTACAGCACCCAGTTTGATTCCCAAAGTGATCCAGCCAGTTCCCCTGAGCAACAACGCCTCATCTGTATCGGAAGTCTCTATTCGTTGTTGCTCCAAAAACGCCTTGGCTAGCCGAAAGAAGGCAAATGAAAAGTTGAGAATTTGATAAGTAGTAATAAAACCGAGGTCAAAATCGGTGAAGATGGTCCAAAGTGTCTTATTATATGGATCGCTGAAGCCGACTGCGACTGTTGTACCTATGACTAGTCAATGGGATAGAGCTGATGAGATGCGGCTAGATGAAAGGTCATTAAGAACTTACTCCGATGGGTGATACCAATGAAAGAAGCCACTACGTTGAACACAACCACGACGGGGATGAGGATAATCAGCGTGAATTTTCCAAACTTTTGCAGCCGTTGAGGAACTCCATCCAAAAATTTGGTAGAGGTGAAGAAACATAGAAAGATAGTATACAAAAGTAAGGGAAATGAAGATAATGCGGCTGTGCGGGGCGAACAATGAGCGGATCCGAGCGACTTGTGTGTGAAACTTACCGAGGGCAACGTCGACAGCCTTGAAAACTGCCAGATTATCCCGCACAGCGGGAATGATGTGTGACAACATCTCAAGCAAAGCCAGTGCAAAATAGACCCAGCCTTCAAATGTTAAGAAAATAAGCCACCTGCAAAAGAAATATAGATCACTTCAAGAGATTATCCCTCAACGAAACTTACCGATCAGAACTCCACGTCTTGAATATCAAAGACGAGGCAAACAAGAACTCCACACCAGTGGGAATGAACAAGGCAATACTCTCAGTCTCGGTCAAAGTCTCGCAGCGGAGAATCAAGGCCTGAGATAAACAGAGGGTTCCCATCTAATCGCTAAAATATTGGGGGCAGCTCAAATAATGCGGAGCATTTCAAAGACGGTCTGATGCTGGAGCTGGAACAAATGAAGGCGAAGTAAAAGGAATGGACTGGCAGACTTGCTGCCACGCACGACCTGGAGCGCGAACGAAAAGATGAAAGGAAGAAGTGTGTCAATTGATAAATGCAAAATCAAAAGTTGAGGACATATGTGGTAACCATATAGATTTCACTGGTTGCAACCGCAATGACTCCATCAAAAATGTCAGGACTTGTGATAGGTTAAAGCGTGCATTGCCAGACCTTTCACACCTTTGAAGTGGTCGTCAGTGATCAGGGGTTGTTCACGACGAGTACTTTGTCATGACCGAGTGATACAGTCTTGCCATATACAGCATTATAAGAAAACGAGAACGATCTCGTGAATATCCGTCGGATGAACGATGATAATGATATGCATGGTCCAATGAATAAGTGATGACAACTGAGCAATAGATAAAACTGTGCGAACGAGATACTCGGTTGTAAGCCTACTAGTGCAATAAAGTAATGAAAGCGATTCAGCTCTGTTCCGCCAAGATAACTTTCTTGCGTTCTGACTTGGGTTTGCTCTCCCCCGCACGTGTGTGTTTCCTTCTTCGTTCCTCCTTGACCCTTCTCGATTCGAGCATGGTGTTCTTGAGTTTGTTGGCGGCATATACTGGTTTTGGCAGATGCCGAGTTCTAAACGATAGATGTCAATGACAGATAGATCAAATGTTGGATGGAACTCACCGCACAACCTTTCCAACTTCTCTGTCCATTTTCCATCGATCCACAAGGCTGCTTCTGTACTCGATCGCAGCTCTTTCTCTTGCAGTGACAATTCCAAGCCTTTCTGAAGCTTTTCCTTTCCATATACGAACATTTCCGTCATCAGATCCTGATAGGACGAATCGGGCGTCATTGGTGAAAAGAGTGGATGTCACCCTGTGTTGACAAGCATCAGATGAGGCTCGAGACAACGACCAGTATCAATTGACAAACCTTTGCATCCGTTTCGTATGATACACCTCCGGAGAATGCCCCTGTCCGGTTTGCCATATTCGCACCGTACGATCCCATCCTCCGGAAACAAACTCTGTCCCTGTCGGCGACCAGTCGCAACTCATTACTGCAGCTACGTGCCCTTTGTAGATCAGACTGGGAGCATTGAGACGCCGGATATCGAATGCGTAGAGGTTATGATCTTCAGAAGCAAGAAGAATGTTGGTGGGGAATGTCGGTGACCACGAAAGAGCGTTAGCACGCATTTGCATGACCACCCGACGCTCTGCTTTCCCGGTCCGAATATCGTACAGGGTAAAGGTACGGTCAGAACCAACGGAAGCAAGGATAGATGATTCGCTAAGGTTGAAGCGGACGGATGAGATGGTTTCAGTAGAAGTGGGAAAAGTGAGGTTTGAAATGGGGGCACTCCTGTCAAAAGCATTGGTTGTTATTCACTGTGCAGATGTGAAGACTGACTTGGTTTCGTCCCATATTTGGACGAGAGTCGAAGCAGTGGCGAACAGCGACGACGATCTTTGATGATCTATTGAACTGAAGAGGAGTTGTTATGAATTGAATGGATATGGAGTGGTAAGTGCATTGCCTACTTGAAAGCATATTTTCCAGGAAAGACATTCAAAGGCTCGTCCTGGGAGTTGGCGATTAGCTTTTACGACATGGCAGTAGCTCATCACGTACTGATGCAATCTTCCATAATTTTACATTACGGTCAACACCGCAACTAAGGAGTCGGGAGTCTCCAGCGAAGCACAGGCCTGTTACTTTTCCTTTATGTGCCTGCGGTAATCGTGCTATATGGGTTCTCTGGGAGAGATTATGCACCATAACGCCTGATATCAATCACAACTAAATTGATCTTTTTGCACCCTCAAAACAGACAATTTCACGTACATACCTCCGTCCCAACTGCCACTTGCTACTGTTGATAGTGAGTCTCCTTGTTTCGCAAGCACCTCTACAGCATCGATATGCCCTTCCAAAGCGCCCACAAATGGTTTGGCAAACATCCGGTCCATTTTTGCGGCATTCAGAGCTCTTGTACGTTCACGAGCACGGGAAAAAGGATGCATGAGTGGGTTTAGATTTCTCGAAACTGGAGTGGGATCTCCAGGTCTTGTTGCTGTATGAGCAGAGAGATCATGTTGTAGAA